GCCCTTCCTGGGGTCCTTGAGACAGAAGCTGTCCTTCCTGGGGTCCTTGAGACAGAAGCTGCCCTTCCTGGGGACCTGGAGACTCGTTGCCTCCTAGTATTCTGCAGGACAGAAATGTGAGCTGCCTTTGTGTCTTGCAGCGTAGGGTTATTTTCTGCAAATTGGCTGAGATTGGAGTGGCACCTCCTGACACTTCATTTTGAGGACTCTCCCCAAAGACTGAAATTCCCTTACCAAAGATAGTTTTTAATGCAAACCATCTGCTTCAATGAAAAAAAAAAAAAAAAAAAACAGAGAAGAAAAAAGAAATCATGACCTCAGTTTTCTGCAGAACAGACAAATCCTTGGTTTTCACCAAAAGGCAAAGTGCTAATTAATTTTTAAAATGCTGGTCTCCTTTGAATTATTTTAGTCTGTTAGATTAAAAACATGTGTCATGATTGCATGTGTTTTTATTCTTCCACAGGCTTGAAACTCTGGGTATTTGGGGAGGCTTTCTATGCGTCTCGAAGCCCTTCATACCTCATTGTGAACTGGCATCTCAGGTTACTTTTCTCATGAGTGACAGAACAAAGACCTGCATTGTGAGCAGGGGAGAGGCAAGGCTGAATTTTAAAGCATAATTTAGAAGCAGCAGAGGTTGGAGAGGGGGAGAGAAATTTACTTAGTTTATAAACTTTTCTGGAGCTAGCCAATGTATGCCAATTATATGACCAATTCAGGTAGAAATCAGACCTAGAAAAAGGAGAAAAACAATATACAAATGAACACATGTGAGGTGATATTAGAGCTTTGGTAATGGGGATTTAGGGGCTCTAGTTGATTTTAAGAGCCTGTGTGTGTAATTGGTGATCAAGAATTATTGGTCCTCAAAAATAATATTAATTCAAAATATAATTCGATTTGAATAAAGAGTGGCTTGTGTTAGGGAGGGTTTATATCTTACTTCTCCTTGAGCTTGGCAGTCATATTGTTTTCTGGGGAAAAAACCAGTAGCAGTATTTTAGAATAGGGTAAAAAATAAAAATAGAGTCCTGGAAGTAGAGCTATGCCACGAGCTGGCTCCTTGGTAACACATCTCCACAGTAACTGTATCTTCTTCATAAGGAATTCAATGAGAAGAAAACTGGACTACTATGCACAATGAGTTATTAATATCTTCTTTCTGCAATTTTTATAGATTTTCTCAACACCATTGATTTATAGGATCATCAGCAAGAAACACTGATGGCCATGAAGATGAATAAGGAAGGAAAAGTGATCTTCATTGGCGAAATTGATTATGATTTCATGTGTTCTTTACCATAGGGGATGCCTAAGTTCTGCAATTCATATTATCAGATCTGATGAATTAGAAACTCAACCACTTCTTGCCTGCACTAGAAAAATGCCAGACACTGTGAGCCCAATCAAAGCATGACAACTAAAATGTTTGAAGAACAGGAATCTCCAACACACAATGAGAACATGTTTGGTTTTCCCAGAATTGTTTTTTGACTAAATGGAAAACAGAAGAAAGAAAAAGGAATTTGTTAAAGAAGCTACAATGTTTACATCAAAACCCAAAATACTTGGAGCTCTAAAAAATGCACTTAACACTTTAACCCAGGGGGAAATGTTTGTCTTTCAATAGTGAATTAGGGTCAGGTGCTGTGTCTTACGCCTGTAACCCCAGCACTTCCTGGGAGCTGAGGTGAGAGGCTCACTTGAGCCCAGGAGGTTGAAAGGGCAACATGTCAAAACTCCATCTCTATACACAAAAAATACAAAAATTGTCTGACCATGAGGGCATATGGCTGTAATCCGAGCTACTTGGGAGGCTGAGATGTGAGATTCACTTGAGCCCTGGAGGTCAAGGCTGAAGTGAGCCATGGTCATACCACTGTACTCCAGCCAGGTTAACAGAGTAAGACTGTCAAAAAAAAAAAAAGTGAATCAGGAAGATCAACGATTTAAGAAAATAAAATTTGACTGAGATTTGGGGAATGCGCATTATTCAGAAAAAATTGCAAAATGTTCTTCCGTTGTAAAGATGTGCTGGCATTATTTAAATATCAACATTCTCAAGGGTGATACATCTTAGAAAAAGAGCAGTAAGAGTGCTTTCAGGCCTGAATAATTGCTTCGGCAATTTGAACTGATCAAATTGACCAGATAATTACCAAACCTCACCTCATTTTGCATGTATACATGATGACCATGCCCAGGAAAACTAGAATGATGGCATAAACTATCATAAATACGGTAGACTCCACGTCCACCTGGACCACTGGCCCCAGGACGTGTACTATCATATATATGGTAGGCTGCACTTCCACTCGGAGGTTTGGAAAGTGGACAGGTATTATCATATATATGGTAGAGTTCATGTCCACCTGGAGGAGTGTAGCCAGGACACATTCTATTATACAAAAGATAAAATCCACTTTCGGCCGGGCATGGTGGCTCATGCCTGTAATCCCAGCACTTTGGGAGGCCGAGGCGGGCAGATCATGAGATCAAGAGATCAAGACCATCCTGGCCAACAGGGTGAAGCCCCATCTCTACTAAAAATACAAAAAAAATTAGCTGGGCGTGGTGGTGCACAGCTGTAGTCCCAGCTACTCAGAAGGCTGAGGCAGGAGAATCACCTGAAGCTGGGAGGCGGAGATTGCAGTGAGCCGAGATCCCGCCACTGCACTCCAGCCTGGAGACAGAGCAAGACTCCGTCAAAACAAAACAAACAAACAAAAAAACTCACTTTCACCTGAAGGACTGGAGTCAGGGCATATGCTAGCATATATACATTAGGCCTCCTTTTCCCCCATAGTATTGGACCCAGTACACATACTACTATATATATGGTAATTTCCAATTCCATCTGGAGACTGCCAGGGGGCTTAGATTATCATCTATGTGGTAGATTTCACATCTACCTGGAGGGCCAGCAGGGAGCATATATTATCATATACATGGTAATTCTTACTTCTACCTGGAGGAATGGCAGAAGGTCATATATTATCATATATGTGGTAGGCCCTACTTCCACCTGGAAGACCAGACCCAGGACATATAGTATTATATATACTGGTAGACTTCCTCTTCCACCTGGAAGAATAGACCCAGGACATATTTTATCTTATATATGGTAGACTCCCCTTCCACTGGGAAGAATAGATCCAGGGTATATATTATCATGTATGTAGTAGACTCCTTCCACCTGGAAGACTGGACCCAGTGCATATAGTATAATATATATGGTAAACTCCCCTTCCACCTGGGAAACTGGAATCAGAGAATATATTATATATGGTAGACTCCTTTCACTTAGAGGAGTGGAGCCAGGGTATATATTATCATATATATGGTAGACTCCTCTTCCACTTGGAGGAATAGACCCAGGGCATGTTTTACCTTATATATGGTGGTAGACTCCTCTCCCACCTGGAGGAATAGACCCAGGGCATATATTATCATATATATAGTAGACTCCCTTTCCACTGGGAGGACTTAACCCAGTGTGATGGTTAATACTGAGTGTCAACTTGGTTGGATTGAAGGCTATAAAGTATTGATCCTGGGTGTGTCTGTGAGGGTGTTGCCAAAAGAGATTAACACTTGAGTCCGTGGGCTGGGAAAGGCAGACCCACCCTTAATCTGGGTGAGAACCATCTAATCAGCTGCCAGCTCAGCTAGAATATAAATAGGGAGAAAAATGTGAAAAGAGAGACTGGCCTAGCCTCCCAGCCTACATCTGTCTCCCGTGCTGGACACTTCCTGCCCTTGAACATTGGACTCCAAATTCTTCAGTTTTGGAGCTTGAACTGGCTCTCCGTGCACCTCAGTCTGCAGACAGCCTATTGTGGGACTTTGTGATCATGTGAGTCAATACTTAATAAACTTCCATATATATATACACACACACACATATATTTCATTAGTTCTGTCCCTCTAGAGAAC